AGAGACCCAAAGAGAGAGGAGAGACAGAGACAGAGAGACCAAGAGAGAGAGAAACAGAGAAAGAGAGACAGAGACAGAGAGAAACCGAGAAAGACAGAGAGACACAGAGAGGAGAAAGACAGAGAGACAGAGACAGAGAGATGGAGACAGAGAGACAGACAGAGACAGAGAGAGAAAGAGACAGTGAGAAAGAGACACAGAGACAGAGATGGAGATGGAGAGACAGAGAGAGAAAGAGACAGAGAGAGAGACAGAGACAGAGAGAGAGAGAGAGACGGAGAGGGAGAGAGGGAGAGAGAGACAGACAGACAGACACACACACACACACACACACACACACACACACACACACACACACACACCCCCCCCCAGCTCAGTGTCACAAAAACCTAGACAGGAGACTATCCTGCATGAAGGAGGAAATGATCAATAGCATGAAATGATTAAGAGATAAAGAAGATTAAGAGAATCAGTGGAGATTAAGAAGAATGAGGACAGAGAAAAGGCCACCAGCCCAGGCCGCTCCCTGCTGTCTCTTCTCAGTATCCCTCTGTTCCCAACGGCCCCTTTTTGTCTCCCCCGGCCCATCCGGGGCCCATCCCCCTTTTCTTTGCCCAAGTCCCTCCATGGGCTCCTCCTCTTCCTTCCCCTCCTCCCTCTGTGACCCCTGACACAGCCCTAAAGTCAAGTGCCCTAGACCCAATTCCCACCTCTGACACTAATGTGTGACCCGAGGCAAGTCACTAACTTCTGTGCATCACTTCCTCATTGGTAAAGTGGGGAAATAATGCCTTGCGACCTACCTCACAGTGACCATGAGGCAAATACTTTGTGAACCTTAAAGTGGGATGCAAATGGGAACCATTACCCCCCCTATCCCTTTCTGGCTATCCTTCCTCCTCCTCATCCGGAATCCGCCTTGGAAGGGACCGTGGAGGGCATCCGCTAAATCCAAGCCTGAACAAAAACGTCTTCCAAAACATCCCAAACGTTGGGTCATGCTGCCGTTGCTGGAAGGAGCAGAGCGCAATCACCCAGGAGGAGGGGGCTGGTCCATTTCAGCTCCACTCTAGGCCTCCTCTCCTTTCTCCCCAGCCCTATCCCTCAGTGGTCCCCTCCCCCCATCACTGTCATGCCCCCTCTTCTCTCATGCCCCCCCTCGGGGATTCTCTTTTCTTTGACTTCAGACCCAACCCCCCGCGGTCCCCCCTTTTACCCTAGTCCATCTCTGTGATCCCCCCTTCTTCCCTTTCCCCATCCCTCCATGGTCTCCCTTCTCTCCTTCCTCATCCCTCTGTGGTCCCCCTTTTTCTCCTCCCCCTTTCCTCAGTGGTCTCCCCCAGCCCTGTGGTTCCCCCCTTCTCCCCCTCCCCAATCCTCCTTTGATTCCCTCCCCATATCACTCTGTACTCCCTTTATCTCTCCCCCTTCCCCTCATCCCTCAATGATGTTCCTTCTCCCCCTCCCCAGTCCTCTTCTGGTCCCTTCCCCACATCACTTTATACTCCCCTTACCTTTTTCCTCCTTCCCCTCCCCCCTCAGTGATACCCTTTTCTCTCCCTGCTGCCCTCTCTGATTCCTCTCCCCAAATGCCTCCTTCTCCCCTACCCCATCTCTCTGATCCCCTCCCCCTTATCTCTGTAGTCATCTCATCTCCCCCTCCCCCATCTCTCTGGTCCCCTCCCCACATCACTCTGTATTCCCCTTCTCTCTCCCCGTCCCCTCACCCCTTAGTGACACCCTCTTCTCCCCCTCCCCCCTCTCTCGGATCCCCTCCCCCTCATCACTGTAGTCATCTCCCCCTCCCCCCCGCCTCGATGGTTCCCCCTTCTCCCCCTCCCCCTCCCTTGGTGGTTCCCCCTTCCCCTCCGTGGCCCCGCCCCCTCCGCGGCCCCGCCCCTCGCCCCAAAGTTTCAGGTCGCAGTCGCCCCGCCCGCCCGCCCTCCTGGCCGGAGAAGCGGCTCTGACCTCGGCTCTGTTCGGGGCGGGGGGCCCTTCCCGGAGTCGGGGTCGGCTCGGCGGTTGGCCCGCCCGCCGGGCTCGCTCCGAGGCTCCGTCGCAGAGCGGCTCTGCCCGTCCGTGCGTCCGTCCGTGCGTCCGTCGGTCAGGGCCAGCGGGGTCGCTGTCCGCCCGCCTGCCAGCACCGCCCCGACGGGCAGCTTCAGTTTCCAGGGGCCGCCGCGGGGGCTGCCGGGAGTCGTAGTGCGCACTAGGCTAGCGCGCAGCCCCAGGGGGCGGGAGCCGGACCACAACTCCCAGGAGGCCCCGCGGGAGCCGGGAGCCAGGACCCCTCGGGCGCTGCTGCCTGCGAGGCTAGAGGCTGGGCAGCGGCGGCGGCCGCGGAGGCGGAGCCGGGGGCGGGGGCGGGGCTCAGAGTCCGGCACCGTGGCGCCCCCTGGCGGCGCATGGAGGAAGGGCTGCAGAGCCTGAGCCCCAGGGGACGGTAAAGATCCTTCCATCAATCTACAAGCATTCATTGCGCTTCTGTCTGCCTGGTGCTAACCTCTGAGCTAGCCCCGGGGGACGCAAATGCAAAGAAGGAAACACTGGCTACTAGCTAGGAGTTTACAGTGGCCATTTTACAGATGGGGGAGGCATCTGAGGCCCTGAGAAGCGTTCACAAGGTTGGGAGTAGAACTCATTCCACTACACTAAATGATAATTATTATAAATAGGTGATGCTTCAAGGAGCTGTAATGTTATAAGTATAAGGACTTGTACCCTTCTATGTCTTGGTAGAGAGTCTTCATAAGTCATATCAACAAGCAAGCACCTACTGTGTGCCATGAACAAACAGTCCCTAATCTCAAGAAGTTCGTGATCCAGCCGGAGAGAAACATGCAAACAAATGTGCAAACATGATGTATACAGGATAAAGCAGAGATAATCTCTGAGGGAAAGCACTGACTAGCCTTAAGGGGGATGAGAAAGAAAGACTTCCTGTAGGAGGTGAGACTTTGGCTGAGACAATGGAGGAGAGAATTTCAGGCACGAGGGAGAGTCAGTGAGAATGCACGGACTGGGGAGATGAGGTTTGTTTTTTGTTCTGTGAAGAACAGCAAGGAGGCCTATGTCACTGGTTCAGAGAGTGAGTCCAAGTGAGTAAGGTGAGGCACCTGGAGTCAAGTGACTCTAAAATTGAATCTAACCCTCTTATACTAGCTGTGTGACCCTGGGCAAGTCATATAACTTCTCTGGGCCTCAGTTTCCTCATCTGTAAAATGAAGGGGTTGGACTCTTAAGCTCTAAGGCCCCCTCTAGCTCTTACTATGTAATCCTAGCTGTATGACCTCGGGCAAGTCACTTCCTCCTCAGTAAAATGGTAATCCTATGTAGGACCTTCTTCAGTAGGTCTTTATGAGGATCAATATATGTAAACCCTATGGCAAAACTTAAAACATTATATATAAATGTGAGCCGTTGTTGTAGTGTCCAGAAGAATTAATCACCCTGTAACCAATGTAGTACTGAGCCTCTCTGAACTTAGCTATGTGGGTTCCTAGCTGGCTGGAAGAATAAACAGGAAAAAAGGAAAAGATCTGGTAACATTTCTATAACTAGTTACTTTCTCCATTAATGCCTTGGATTCCAAGGTCACAGTCTCCCACAGTGCTACATGTTGAGGTCAGAGTTGGGAGAGCAGTTCAGGTGTGAGAGAATTCACTTAGACCTTCTCTGTAGCCATTGGTTATGAGTTCAGGATTAGTTCAGGACCCCAAAAATGTTGGGGTGCTACCTGAAATGAGGAGGAACAAACATTCAGGTCCTGTTGAAGTTTAGAGGTTTAGGGGTGCTGGGACCCCAAAGTTACAACACACGGGTCCTGCATGAATGAATTTGACCCAAGCCTTCTTTCAGCCAAAGACAAGGTTTATTAAAGATCTGCTGTATTGGCCAGACTCGTAAGAAATCTGAACTTTTGTGTCACTAATGCAAGTGGGCCAGATCTTAAGAATCTGAGCCCTTGGCTAGATTATAAGAATCTGAGCACCTTAATGGAGACAAGATGGACCTTATATACAGAAAGACTGTAGGAGAGATCTAGGAATGGCCAAGTAGTCTGGGGTGACTGGAGGAGGGCTCTAAGGAGGATCTGGATGGGAGTGGCCAGTAAGCTGGGGTGAACAGAAGGCCAGGGACCTAGACCCCTTGACCAAGGGAGAATGGAATCTAGATAGGATTGAGGGTGGGAAGTGGCCAGGGGAATTCTGGAGGTAATAGAACAGAGTAGGGAGATTGGGCATGGCCATGATGAAAGGCCAGTTGAGTGGATTACAGCATCAGGCAAACACCAGAGATTTGGGAAAAGTCCACAGATTTTCTTTTTTGGGGTCTACAACCCAAAGACATGGTCTTTTCCTTTTAGGAAGTCAGATCCCATCCCCATCAGTCCTAGAATCCTGAAAGAAATCACTCGGACAGTCTCCAAGTTAAAGAAAGGCACTTGTTGGGAGTGATGTATCCAAGTGGTCCTGCTCCCCATGAGGCAGAGCCCCAATGGGCTCTACTCCAAGTGGGAGGCAAAGCATGGGCTGCAGGCCCTGCTCTCTTAAGGGAGCCCTAAGAGGCAAAAGCAGTTAGCCAGGTCAAAAGTGTGGTTTAAATACAATTTTATGGAATGGGGGAGGGGGACAAGAGAATGGGAGGTACAGCATGGCTCCAAAATGCCTGGGATATCAGGTAGTCCGGAGGTGATAAGCAAAGAGAAGAAGGGAAAAGCTTTCTGGAATTGCGGATGCTTTGTGAAAGCACACAGGTAAGTCCATGTTGGAGGCTTCAATGCACAGTCTTCTTTGATCACTTTTATGGCTGGTCACATCCTGCACTTTATCTCCTCTCTCACATCCTGCATCCTGCTTGCTCCATCTGCCTCAAGCACTCTCTTCTACCTCATCCGTTGGCCGGTCATTTTCAGTCATAACCAACTCTGTGACCTCATTTGGGATTTTCTTGGCAAAATACTGGAGTGGCTTGCCATTTCCTTCTCCAGCTCATTTTGCAGATGAGGAAACTGAGCAAACAGAGTTAAGTAACTTGTCTGGGATCACATAGCTAGTAGGTATCACAGGCCAGATATGAATTTACAAAGAGTAATCTTCTTGACTCGAGGCCCAGCATTCTATCTACTCTGCTACCATAGAAAGGACACTAAAGAAAACCAAGACAACTGTGCTACTGTAGACCAAGACTATCTGGAGGTCCAATCTGGAGGCATCACAATTCTGAGGGCATTGAAGGATCAGTTCTCAAGATATAGGAAAGAAAAGAAGAAAACAAATGATTACAAAGTTATAAACCAGCTTATTCCCCTCCCCCTCAAACAATTATTCAGAAAACATGAATAAGTTCTGACACATATGCCTACATTCTCTATAAGATCCTTATATGAATGATCTAAACACATGTTCAAAGACATTCATGATGAAAATAGGTAGAGGGCAAAATGGTATTTTAGAGTAGATCATATTTTTGCACTCATGCAACTGACAGAAAAGTGCAGAGAAGAGATTAGAATCTACTGTTGGTTTACTTCTTTTTTTTAAAGGCATTTACTTTGGAAAAGCAAGCCTGAAATCCTGTGGATTCTAAATTTAATTTTCTGTAATTTGGTCCAATGTTCTAGCTTACTAGGATCCTTTTGGATACTGACTTTGTCATTTCCACCCTCTTTATGTTACCTACAGATTTCACAACCATCCTATCTGTACTCATTTCTATCATTGACTAAAGCATTAAACAGCACAGTGCCAAGCACAGATCTCTGGGGCACCCCAGTAGAGACCTCCCTCCGACTTAGTTCCATTAATGAGTACTCTTTAGGTCTTAAGGTGCAAACTCAACCATTTGCAAATCCCTAACCATTCCAGAGTTCATACGTGGTCTCAAATCTACTACTGCTGCTGTTCAGTCATTTTTCAGGCATTTCTGACTCTGTGACCCCATTGGAGTGGTTTGCCATTTTTTTCTCCAGTTCATTTTACAGATGAGGAAACTGAGGCAGGCAGTGCTAAATGACTTGCTAGGAAGTGTCTGAGGCCAGATTTGAACTCAGGAAGATTAGTTTTCCTGACTCCAGGCCCAGAGCTCTGTGCTCTATGGTGCCACATAGCTGCTGCTGCTTCTCCTGCTACTACAACTGCTGCTGCTACTGCTGTTGTTAGTACTACTAATTACTAGCTAATATTTGTATATTGCCTACTAGGTGTAGTAAACACTTTATGATTATTATCTCATTTGATCCTCACGACAACCCTGGAAGGTAGGCTATTATCATTCTCATTTTACAAATGAGGAAACTGAAGGAAGGGTAAGTGACTTGCTGAGGGTCATACAGCTAGTAGGTATCTGTGGATGGATTTGAACTCAGGTCCTCCTGACTCCAGGGCTGGTGCTCTCTCCACTGCACCACCTAGCTGCCCTGACTGATCCCTTTACTAAGTGTTCCCTGGGCCACCCATTTGATAACTTCTAGAATTTTGCCTGGGATCAATGTAAATCTTATTAACCAGATAAGCACCTACTATGTGCCAGGCACTGTGCTAATCCTCCCAACAACGTAGGGGAGGCTATTATCATCTCTATTTTACAGTTAAGGAACTGAGCTTAGGATCACACAGCTAATAAGTGTCTGAGGTGAGATTTGCATTCGGGTCTTCCTGACTCCAGCCCTAGCATCCTCACTGTTGCCTCAACAATCATATCTGTCAGTTCTTTGAGTTCATTTGGAAGTTAACAAGAGTAGATAGATGCTCTCCTATTATCCCCTTATTTATTTGGGGATAATTTAGGTCAATTGGAGCTAGATTATGTAGGAGTAAGGAATTTGCATTTAATTCTAGTTTTTGAAGCCACCCTTCTCTTTTTCAGAGTACCTTCCTTTCTTGATCTCTGGGAGTGTTGTGCTCTTCAGCCCCTCCCTTTGATTTAGAGAATCTCCAGCTATAAGGAAATAATCCAAGGCAGCTAGGTGGTGCAGTGGATAGAGCACCAGCACTGGGGTCAGGAGGACCTGAGTTCAAATCTGGCCTCAGA